CTGGGATCTTCTGCAGACGGCTTCCTCCTGGGGCTGGGCTCACCCTGTCCATGCAATCCCAGCAGGGGCGGCCAGGGTCACGTGGGACACGGGGGGCCCAGGGAGTCCACGCAAGATGGCTGCGCCTCCCCTGGGTTCAGCCAGGGATGCTGGCCCAGTGACCAGAGGAGGCGCCTAGCATGGAGCTGCAGAGGCCAGGACTGCTGGGGCCAGACAGAGGGAGGGGAAACAGGCTCTGAGGGCTACCAGGCCGCACCCTGGGGTAGTGGGAAGGCTCTGCAGGAGGCTGCGCAGGAGACAGGGACAACTGGCCAGGCAGAGGTTGACACCTTCCCCTCAGCAGCCCCAGGCTGCACACAGGCCTCCCTGCTGGGATAGCCCCACCGCTGCGCCCTGAGGCAGAATGTCTGAGTCAGGCCCTCTTTGGGACTGTGTCTGCCTGCGCCCAGGGTCCCTCGAAGGCCACCAGTGTCACCCAGCAGGTGCCCTCCTTGCCGCAAGAGATGCACACACCTGGCCCTGCTGAGCCCAGGCAGCTCTCCTGGCTGGTGACTAACCCTAACCTCCCCCGAGTCTGGCGAAAAGACAAAGCCCAGTTCAGCCGCAGGTCTCCGGCAGTTCTACCTCCAGCCTCCCAGGGCCGGTGGAAGCTGCAGGTCCTCCAGGAAACCGGACCCGCTGGCCAGACATTGCAGCACACAGCGGGGAAGAACGTGGTGGGATCTCTCCCCTGCCTTTTTATGTTGTCTTGCTGTTTTTGAGACAGGGCGTTGCTATATCATTCAGGCTGGCCTTCAACTAGGTAGCCCAGGCTGGCTTCAAACCCGTGGTGACCCTCCCACTTAGCCTCCCAGGTGCTGGGATGACAGGTGTGCATCACCATACCATGCTGGCTCACTGCCACATACCTAGAAGGGCATCGCTGGAAAAAGCCTGCCATGGAGCCAGGCTGGGCATCAGGTCCCCCTCTGCTGTGAAGTCCCTGGGGACAGCCCCATGCCTCACGGCAAGAGGTTTGGATGAGCTCTGTGTCTCGAGGTGAGGCAAGGTGCAGTGCGACCGTGGGCAGTGATCCCTAACTGTCCAGTGTCAAACATTTCCTGGGGCTGGGGATCCAGGAGGACGGATGCTCCAGCCCAGCAGGCCTGGAGGCCCTCCCTCCTGGGCATCCCCTGTCTCCCTGGCTCATCCATCATCTGTTTGTCAAATAAGCCCGACTAAAGCCTCCTGTGCCCGGGCTGCAGACCTGCAGATGAACCCAAGGCCGTCTATGCCTGGAGGGTCTGTGGGCTTCAAAGCGCCCTACACTCAGAAGACCTTAATTATTATTTTGAGTAATAATTACAGTGGTGCTACAAAGCAGGGCAGGAGCTGAACCTGCTGCCAGAGGAATCCTCAGCCCTGGGCCTGGCAAGCAGAGGAGACCATGCTCCCTGCACCCTTGCTCCCTGGCAAGTGGCTCTGAGCCCAGGCAGGTACAGCGGGCAGCAGGAGCTGGTCTGCGAGGTTGGGTCGCAGTCACAGAAAGCCAGACCAGAGGTGGAGGGGCTGTGGAAGCTCCGGTGAGGCACCTTGCCCAGGCCTCCCCGAGTCATTACTGCCTCCCACTCCGTGCCTGTGTTACAGGGTACACTGAGGCATGGGGGTCCTGTCTTCACACATGGCCAAGGCGACATGCACCCCACAGGGCCCAGTGCAGAGCCCCATGGTAAAAAGTTTACAAATTTCAAGACAGCTCTGGCTGAGCAAGCAATTGAGGACACAAGTGCAGCCCCACGTACCTGGCCCTGGATACGTGTGGTTGCTGTCACCTCTGGCTTCCAGGATGACCTAACTCCAAATGGCTCAAAGGGACTCAGTATTCCCTGTCAGGAGACATCAGGAGGTGAGGGAGCTCCGGCCACCACTGGGGTCAGGAGCTGGGGTCAGTTTAACCACCCATTGTGTCATGACAGCCCCAGGGTCCTCCCTCCCACCTTTCCATCCTGGGGCACCCAGATGGCTGTCGGACTGAAAGTGCCACCCATAGATACTCAGGCATCAGGACAACCATCTCTTCTGCTCACCTCTTGCTAGGAGCGGGGACAGTCTTTTTCTTTTGTTTTTGAGACAGGGTTTCCCTACTTATTCCAGGTTGACCTTGAACTCTTGGTGAGCCTCCTGCCTCAGCCTAAAGAGTGCTGGGTTTATAGACATGTACCACCATGTCCAGCTGGGACAACCATTCCTAGAAATCCCAGCAGCAAATCTGTCTCCACATTTCTTTGGCCAGATCCCCAGGCCCCGACCAATCCTGGGCAAGGAGCATGAGCACTGTATTGGCTTAGAGTAGCAGAGACGTCCCCGGAGTCACCAGGGCCTCTGAGCACCGCCTGCACTCTGTCCACGGATGCCTACACCTCAGCTGGGCACGGGTTGTTTGCCTCGGCCTCCGTGTCTGCACGTTGGTCTCCTAATTGGTGCCAGACGCGTATGAATAGAGGTAGGCCATGTTCTGTGGTAAAATTAGCTGGTGGTAAATTCTGCTACATGTAGGTGGGGGCGGGGGATGCAACTTTGCATCTGGGTTGGGCTTGGTTTTATTACTTCACTGTAGGTAAAGCAAAAATAGCTTTCCTACCACTGGGGAAAAATACTGACACCCACAATTTAAGAAGGAGAGGTTTATTTTGGTTCATGGTCTCAGAGGGTTTGTTTAGCGCATGGTCAGCTGGATCCAGGGCAGAAACAGCACAGCAGAGGAAAAGCTGCTTTACAGCAGCCAGGGAGCAGAGAGGGCAGGGAGAACCAGAGAGGGACAGCCTTGCTTGGGATTTTCCTGCTTGGCCAGGTGCCCGTGGGTTGGGTACTGAACGGCATCGTTAACTAGGAACTCATCCATAAATGAACCCTAGGGTGAGCACAGCACCCCACTGCGGTCCAGTCACCTTCCCCAAGCCCACTCTGAACAGAAGCCATGAGGTTTAGTGAATCCTTAGTCTCCACAGGCAGTGTCCTTGGGTGCTTTGCAGAAAGGAACCCATGAATGCTCCCGAGATCACAGTGAAGTCATGGCTATTCTGGTGTGCAGGCAGGACGAGGAGGCACTCAAATCCCCTGGGTCGCCTTCAAAGTGCTGGGCCAGCCCCAGACTTTCGGGTTCAGTGGGGTTGAGGTGGGGCCAGGCATGTGTGTCTAACAGGTGATGCTCTCAGCTGGTCTGGGCCTGGCTCTGAGAACTGTATCAGAGGAACATGAAGGTGGCCAAAGTGTTGGAGCATGTGAGGAACTTGGACAGCAGTGTTGGCCTACATGAAGCTTGGACCCGGCCCACGGGCACCTGGCCAGGCAGGAAGTGGCAGCTGACACGTTCCTCCCAATCTGGTGGCCGAGCCCCGGGCCCTGGTCAGGCCTGCAGCTCTGAGCAGCACCTGCTTCTCATCTGCACCAAGGCTCCATGAAAGGAGAGGAACCCTGGTGCTGAAGGGCTCAGGCAGTATGCGGGGTCAGGATGCTGAGCAGCCAGGGTCAAGGGGAAGCAAAAGAGACGTGACTCTATCTAATGTCTAGAAAAGATCATTTATCCAATGGGTAAACAAAATGTTGGATATTCACACAATGGAATATTATTTAGTCTTTAGCAGGAAGAAAATTCTGACATACACTACATCAGGAAAGACCCTGATGACACTATTTCGGATATAATGAGTCAGTCACGAATGTATGAAATGTACCTAGATTAAATTCACAGAGACAGGAAGTAGGATGTGGATGTAGCTGTGGCAGAGCACTTGCCGGGCATGTATGATTCCCGGGGTTTGATCCCCAGTACATGAAAAAAACAAAAAAAGTTGGATGGTTGTCAGGGATGGGGTGGTTAGAAAGTGAAGTTTTTTTGATGGGCACAGAATTTCACTTTTGCAAGACAAAAAAGTTCTGGAGGTGAATGAATGGTGGTGGCAGTTGCACAGTAACGCCAACGTTTAAATGCCACAGAACAGTAGCAGGGACTGGTGGCACATAGTCTGTAATCCCAGCACTCTGGCAGGCTGAGCAGGAGGAGCCCAAGTTTGAGCCCAGCCTGGGAAACTTAAGTGACTTCGTGAGAACCCACATCGAAGAAACAAAAAGTAAAAAGGGCTGGGCATATAGCTGTGTGAGGGCCCTGGGTTCAGGTTCAATCCCTAGTACTGAAATAAGTAAATAAGTAAGTAAATAAATAAAAATTTAAAAAAATCTAGAGTTCTAGGAAAAAAGAGGCTTGTGTGACTGGAACACACCAAGCGAAGGGGAGCGGGCCTGATGCACAGATCGCTTGGGCCTCGGTGAGGAGGCTGGTAACCAAGTTCTAAGTCGGCCACGAGTCGCTGAAACCTAGGGAAAACTGAACTGTCCCTCTATGAATCTGGATAGAGCAGCCAGTCCGGTCTACTGAACACGCCTGTTCCGGGACGGCCAGGGCCACGTCTCCGCGCAGTCCTCACCTCGGTGCGGGACGTGCAGGTCTGGGTCACTCGCTCGCACCGGCCAGCGCCAGGCCTGGAGAGGCGGACACGGCGCTAACCGGTGTCAGACCCTCGTCCCGCTTCTGAGATGGGGAAACTGGGGCCTCAGAGGCGGCGAGCCGAGGCCGGGCAGAGGGCGGCCGGCCACGGGTAATACAGTCCGTGCGAACCGGGACCCCGACTCCGGGCTCAGCCTCCGCCCCGTTCAGTTCAGCCCGGGATGGGAGGGAGGGTGAAACTGCGACCCCTGTCCAGGAGACGGGGCTCCTTCTGCTCCCTGGCGGAGAACTGAGCCTGGGGCTCCTCCTCCTAGCGGGTTACCGTCGGGGGCCGGAGACCCTCATCTCCCCAGTGCCCGACTAAGCCCAACCTCCGGTTATTTCCACCACGCCTCCGTTGCTCCGCCTTCTCTTGCCCTTATCACGTCTGCGCATGCCCCAGATCCGCAAACCGGCCAATAGGAAAGATCCGTTTGCATTCTGGGAAACGAAGTCCGAACCCTGGCGGGCTCAGGGCCAATAGACCGCAGGCCGCTCTCTAAGATATGTTGGGTAATGCAGTTCTGGAGCTGGAGGGAAGGAGGCAAGGCGGGACGCACAGCAAGAGCCAATGGGAAGCCATTTTTGCTTCGATGCTTCCCGGGAAATGTAGTTCCCAGTGAGGCCGCAGAGAAGGCGAGTTGCTGGCCGACGCGGGGTGTTGGGGGGGAAGAGGGGGGAGATTAGTGAGTTTGGCGCAAAGCCTGCCGGGGCATGGAGTCCCGGTGAGCTTTGTACGCATGTGCGGGAAGGTGAGGGGCTCCGGGGGCCTCGCCCGGGAGAGTGAGGTGAGCAAGCGGGAAAAGAGGGAGGGACGAGGCGAGGGGGGGTGGTAGACGAGGCAGGGACCAAGCTCTGGGCCGGGGGGGGGGGGGGGGGGTGGGGGGCGGGGGGGGGGGGGGGGCGGGGGGGGGGGGGGCCCGGGACGGGGCGAGGAGAGGGCGCGGTTGGGGCAGTCGCTTGGGGAGCCCGGCAGCCGGAGGGTCGGGGTCTCTGAGGAGGGGACCCGGAAAGTTAGAAACCCCACGGAGGGGCCGAGGGCCGGTTGGCGGAAGGTCCAAGGGGGACCTGCAGAGCTCGACAGCAGGGCCGCTGAGGTCGAGCCGGGGCAGGGGTGACCGGGCCCGGGCCCCGCAGAGGAGTCTGGGGCCGGGTGGGAGGTTTGCAAAGTCGCTGTCTCCAAGGGGTGCTTTGGCCAGGAGGCATCCCGAGGCTTAGAATCGCGGCCCTGTTTATTTCTTTCACGATCAGTTCGCGTGTTGCGGGCTAAATTCATTCATGTGAGCACAGGGCGTTAGGCTGCCCGCTGTGGCCATCTGAGGCCCCCTGTGACCCCTGTCCTGTGTCTCCCACTTGGCCCGGGATCATCTGTTCATCTGTGCGCTTGTCTCCCACGGGTCTCACCGTATCTCACAGTGCACTTGGGACCAACCAGGTCCTAGTGATAAACGCCACCTGGAGTGCCTCCAGCCCAAGCCCTGGTGCTGCTCTGAACGTTTTTCTTTTAAGTGATTTCGCTTTCACTGCAACTCCCTGGGCCAGTGTAATTTTTTGTCCCCATTTTACAGCCGAGGAAAAGGAAGTATTGTGTGTAACAGGTGCTCTTGTCCCCTGTCCAAGGACGCCCAGCTGGGGCGTGGCCGAGCTGTGGAGCTCTTGTGCTCCAAGTCAATATTTGTTCAGTAGGCCGGTGGCTCCCCCAGGATGGACACTCGGTAGCATCCTGAGACGACTTCGGTTGTCACCCCTGGGAAGTGCTAGTGGCACCTAGCCCAAGATTTACAGGATGGAGCTGCCCAGTCCCACACGCCGGTAGTGCCATGGCCAGACCCACAGGAGTCGCAGACCAGGCTTCATCGAGCGCTTTCTTGGGACCATTCTAGTCCAGGCTTCCGCTTACGGGTCTCTCAGGGAGGGCAAGGCACGTGTCTAGGATCACACAGCACATGGGTGGCTGGGTGAAAAGTCGAAGTCGGTCAGCCACGCCCCAGAGGGAAGCCTTGACCCCTGTGACTGGGACTCAGCCTGGGGACTCGTGCAGCCTGTGCTGGGCCATGATACGAGGGAGCTGGCCTGGGCTCTGTAGGACAGGACATCCTTTCTTCCCAGGCTGGTGAGAGGGGCCTGTGTGGGGCTCCTTAGGTGTCCAGGGTGACACAGCAGCCTGGTGCAGGTGCACTGGGTACTCCCTGGGTGACAGAGGGGCTGCACCGATTGCTTGGGACAGGCCCTGGAGCAGTGACCCCAGGCCTCCCTGAGCCCTACCCCACGCAGTGCAGCCCAGGCCAGGTGACTGATGGTCCCTGAGGCTGTAAGCCTGGTCAGCCGCAGCTGGTCTGGCTCCCTCCGGCTCAAGTTCCTCTCTCTCCAGTGGTGCGGGATCTGTGCAGCCTGGATACAGCTCTGGCCAGCTCTTTGGGAAGCCCTCCTTGCCTACTCCAGGTGAGTCCGCCCCTCAGGTGATGATGGGTGGTTGAGGGGTAACACTGTGGCCAGTCCTGCAGCTGGCCAGGCGGGGTGTGGGTTCCAGCTGTGCCACTCACTTGCTGGTGACTCAGGGCGAGCTGCCTTCATTAGGGTACCCACAGCAGCCTCATGCGGCTGGTCGTCCGTCCTGTAAGACTCAGTGCCTACTGGGCTTGGAATACATGGGCTCTGGCCCTCCTGGACCCTAAACTAGTGAGGAAGGCTGGCCCACAAATTCGGCTAAGAAACGCAAAAGGAAAACTAGTGAAGGTGACATCATAGAGAACAGCTGGGGCAAGGGCATGCAGTCCCACACTAGTGGGTGACCCGGGGACCCCCCGCCCACCCCGTGAGGCCTGTGTGAGGAGGAGGAGCCAGCTATCCAGGACCCGCCTTGGCACTGTGAGGGCGGGGGTCTGTGTTTGGAGGACCATGCTGTGTACCCCAGGATGCCCAGCAGTGTCCCTGACCTGCACTGCCATAGCCCATAGCTCTGCCTGCTCCACCACCCTCATCAGAGCTGTCCCGGAGCCTTCCTGCTGCACCAGGGTAGCGTCACCCAGGTTCAGGGCCGTGGCCTCACCTGCCCCTGCCTTCCTGGGGGGCAGGCAGCCTGCTTCAGGCAGGGCCGGCACAGGAGCGGAGGCGAGGACGGGCCGCTCCCAGGTGGCGGCATGGCAGGCTGTGCTAGGGCTGAGTGTGTGTCCCCCAAGACTCATGCACTGAGACGCCAGCCCCAGGGTCCGTGCGCTGGGGCCGGGGCTTTGGGAGGTGACTGGGTCCCGAGGGGAGCCTCCCTGCAGGGCTGGGGCACCTGTGAGGAGAGGAGATGAGAGAGTGCGGCATTTCACAAGGACCTGCGGTGGCCCCGGGCGGGCGGGCGGGCGGGCGGGCGCTCCATGTGACGGGAAACCGAGGCTGGGGCCCCGCGCCCAGCCCGCTCACCGCACCCTCTTCTCTGTCCCTCCCTCTGCAGGCCCCATGGAGGCCCCTGCACCCCTGCCTGTGAAGCAGGAGGAGCCAGCCGCCGAGGGCCTGGCCCCAGCCCCGGAGACGCTGGACTCCCCCGCCCTGGACTCCCCCACCCCGGACTCGCCCTGGCACCGCTTCCGCCACTTCCAGCTGGGTGCGGCACCGGGGCCCCGCGAGGCCCTGGGGCTGCTGCGCGCCTTGTGCCGTGCCTGGCTGAGGCCTGAGGTGCGCACCAAGGAGCAGATGCTGGAGCTGCTGGTGCTGGAGCGCTTCCTGAGCGCGCTCCCGGCCGGTGCCCGAGCCTGGGTGTGCAGCCGGCGGCCCCGCAGCGGGGATGAGGCCGTGGCCCTGCTGGAGGAGCTCTGGGTGAGCTGGGCGCGGCGTGAGGGCAGGCGCGGGGCCGAGTGGGAGAGAGGCCCCAGCGTCCCCCCGTGGGCGTGGAGCGGCTGCCCGAGCCACAGTGGCACCCACGGCCCCCTGGGTGTGGTCGTCCGTCTTTGGCCTGGTGTCCGGAAAGGCACCTGCTGGGGTGCTGTGCTCTTCCGGGTCACTAGGACCCCCGCCCAGACCCCGCCCTTGTCTTCTGGTCTGAGCCCGGGCACAGAGCCCCCTTCAGGTGACGGGCAGGAGTCCGGGGGCCACGGCTGCCTCCCGAGGCCTGGGTGGATGTACCACACAGCTGGAGCCCTGGCTGCAGGGTGTGCGTGGTCCAGAGCCAAGCGTCACCTCCGTCTCTGGCAGCCACAGGCCGGCGGTGCAGTGGAGCAGGTGGTGCAGCTGTGTCACCTGCAGTGCTAGGCTCACACGACCTTGGCACGGGGTGGTGGGGGGGTGGCACTCAGGCTGAGGCCAGCATGGGCCAGGGGACACTGGGGACACGGGCAGTGGTGGGAAGCGTGGCCAGCATCCACTGCACTGCTGCTTTGAGTCGTGAGCAAAGCCCTAGGGCCCAGGGCAGCTAGACGTTCTCTCCCTCCTTCCTGCGGGAGCAGCCACTGTCTGAGACCCCCATGTGCCCCATGTGTCCCCTTTCTCTGGCCTGGGCCCCAAATGCAGGCTGTCCATGCTTTGGCCATGCTGCTCCCCGAGGGCCCTGGAGGGCCCTCCCCGTCCTCTTCACCCTGTCTGCAGGCCTCTGTGTCCCGTGGAGCGTGGTGTGCAGCGGCCTCTGTAACCAGAGCTGCTGAAGGAGGGCGCAGCCCCGCGGGGTTGGCTGAGATCTGGGTGGGGTCCCCTGGGTGCCCTTCCCTCTCCCGAGGCCTGGGGCACCGCACTCTGCCTCTTGTCATCATTGCCCCTCTCCTCAGACCTCGCCGTCTGTATCCTCAGTCAGCCGTGAGCAGGTCTGTGAGGACCCGGGGCTTGGTCAGATAACTCAGGACAGCTTCCTGACTCTCACCTGCGAGGTAGGGGCACAGACGCACAGGGCCAGGGGAGAGGATGAAGACACCTGGGCCACTGTGCCGAGTTCCCGGAGGTGAGGGGACACGGGACGCGGAGCTGCAGCAGTGCTGGCCGAGGGGAGTGTCACCACAGCCCGGGTGCCTCTTACGACCCCTCTTTCCTAAGACTAGGTCTGGGCATGGAGCCCTGGGGCAGCGGCAGCCTGGGCCGCTGCTCTGTGGCTGGGGACGCTCAGCCTGGATGGGAGCTGCCAAGGTGGCGGGTCCCTTCCTGTCCTCTGTGCTCAGGCGGGCCCAGGGTGAGGAAGGGAGGACACCTGCATAGAGGTGGGCGCTGCTGTGAAGCTGGGGGCTTTCGGGAAATGTGTGACCAGGGCAGTGGCTGCAGTGACGTCTAAACTTTCTTTTTCTGACGCACAGTTCTTGGTGTTTCTGTCTCAGCACAGATGCTGAGTGGTCCCCGTGCCTGTGGCTTTGCCCTGGGAACTGTCACATGGGCGGGGTCCTGCAGCACAGCCTTTCCCTGTGCGTGGCATGTCCAATGTCCAGGGTCGTGGGTCTTGGGCCGCGTGTGTCTGTGGGCGGGCCATTTCCAGTGCAGTGGCATTCTGTGCTCTGGGTGTGCCTGGCACATCCCCACTCCCCTCCGAGGAATGTGTGGGAGGCATCTGGGACGCTTACCTGTCCCCAGCGCAGCTGCTGGTCCTAGGCAGGGCTTGGGAACAGCAGCCATGCGCTCCTCACAGCCCTGGAGGCCACAGGTCTGAGGCCAGAGCTGATGAGGTGTCTAGGGAGGGCCTGGCTCCCGCTCACAGCTGGCACGGCCGTGTCTGCACCCTGGCGTGGTGAGTGAGGAGGCAGCTCTCGGCCTCTTATGTGGGTGCCAGGCCCCTCCTGATACCATCACGGGGCGGGGGGCAGGGGTCGGCAGGACTTCAGCAAGGAAGCGGAGACATGGCTTTCAGCCTCCAGCAGTCTGGGGCCCTTTGTTTTTTTTGTTTTGCCTTTGCGATACTGCAGATCAAACCCAGGGCCTTTGCACTCAGCTACATCCCCAGCCCTCTTTATTTATTTGGAGACAGGGCCTTGTGAAGTCTCAGTTGCCCAGGCATGCTGGGCGGGATGTTGTAATCTTCCTGCCTCAGCCTCCCAGAATGCTAGGATTGCAGGTGTGTGCCACCACATCCTGCACTTCTGCCCATTTTCTAGCTGGGCTGTTTGTTTCTTGCTGGTGAGTTTTGATCATCATTCCTATGGTCTGGGTACAAATCCTCTGGTCAAAAAGTTAGACTCACATTTAAAAACACCTCACGCCTGTGTGCTGCTGGGGCCGGGGACCACAGGTGACAGAGCATGGGCCTGGAGCTGTCCTGCTGTGTGTCCTCCGACACAGGCAGCAGTGGGGTCCCCGCCTTGGGAGAATGAATGGACAGCGAATGCTGGGACCAGACTGGTTTTCAGGCATCACCTGGTGGCCCAGCTCCTGTTATTTGAGCTCTACCTGTCTGATTCTTTGGGATTAAAACTACCTTTTAGGTGAGGTAGTAAAGGTGGGTGGTCGTTACTACTGCATTGTGGACATATCTAGCAGAGTAAAATCCCCTTCTGTTTGAAGAGTGGGGGTCCTGTTGGTCCAGGGAATCTGAAGAGTGGGAATCCCTGGGCCCCCGGTTCTGAGGATTCCGCTCAGCCCCTGGGGTCTGGAGTGTGGGGTCCCTTACCAGCGAGGCCAGCCTGAGCACGTGCGTCCCCAATGCACCGTGGCCTCGGGCTTCCTGAGATGGGAACTTTGTCTGTCTTCTGTGCTCCCCAGTGCCACATCAGCCCTGGCCCCGAGTGGGTGCTCAGAAAGTGAGTGCCTTAAAATGCACGCAGGGTTTAAGGTTGGACCCCGAAGGCCAGTGCACGGTCCACTTCTCTGCTTCTGTTGCGAAGGAAGCCAGTCTGCCCAGAGGGATCAGATGACTTGTCCGCAGCTAGACAGGGTTACTCAGGAGACAGGGGCAGGGCGTCCTAGCTTATGAGGCCTGAAGGAAGGCTGGGGGTGGCCAGGGAGCTGGAGAGAGGACCCCGCTGCCGCCTATCTGCAGGACAGGGGCCCAGGTCAGGCCTGAAGAGAACCCTGAGGCTCCAGCCAGGGAGACGGGAGCAGCCTGGGCACAGCAGAGACCTGGGCAACTGCACACCACTCTGGGCCTGAAGGACAGGGACTGGCTTTGGGGAAATAGAAGTCAGCAAAATATGCTCACAGAGAAGCCACCAATCTGGAGACCAGACACCAGAGGGGAAAATCAAATCAGAGACAAAGACTTTCTGGGAAAATGGCCCCAGGCCCCAGCAGGTTTATGCGGAAGTGCTGCCCGATCTCCAAGGAATGGATGGTTCTTAGCATCATGGACTCTTCCAGAGGACAAAGTGTAACGGCACCAAGCTCATTCTGCAAGACTGCCGAACCCCTCCCCTGCCAAACTAGCCAAGCTGTAAAAGGATAAGCCAAGAAAAGCCAGCTGTAGATCTGTCTCCAAAGAAACAGACAGGAGATGTCCAAGTAGAGTATTAGCTACTTGAATCGAGCAAAGAGTCAATGCACTGACTTGTGGCCCCAGGTGGGGGTGTGCAGGGAAGTTCCATCACTAGGAAATACTCATAAAGGGGACAGACCTAGAGGTCAAGGGTGGGGCCTTCAGGAGCGAGCAGAGGGCTGGGCTGCTGGAATGGTCCCCAGTCTGCCACGCTGAGACCAGCCCACCTCTGGCAGGGTGGGCGCTTGCAGATCCAAACTCAGAAAGGCCAGGCTCTTCCAGAAGGGGGACCCAGTGATGGGCGAGACTCAGCAGGCCTCTGGCTGAGTCCCGGAGCACTGGGACAGGTGAAATGTGAGGAGAGTGGGAATTGTATGAAACTCCCGAGCCAGCTCCCATTTGTCAGCGCTGGAGGAATTCCGATGGCTGTTCCCAGACATGTGGGAAAAGAAATGAAAGACTGAAAATAAACCAAAGATGGCTGGTCTGAAGCTCTTCCTGAGCCTTCGGTCCTGCTGGCTGGTGCTGCGCCTGTCTCCTCCGCTGGCCCCGAGAAGTTCCGTTTCTAACCTTCGCTGTTCTGAGTTACATGTAGCTTATGCTCTGTCCTGCAGTTAATCCACAGGGCAGCGGAAGCTGAAGTTCGACGTAAAGCAGGTGTATACTCCGTCCCCCAGACGCAGGAGTGCAGGACGCGGGGCCCTTGGTCACTCCAGGTTGCCGAGGCCTGCAGTGTGGGGTGGCTCGGGCAGGCACGGTGACCGAGCTGGCAGGGCTGCTGACAGGATGTGACCACTGCCGGTAGGCGGGGAGAGGGAGGTATGGGCCAGCTCAGCCCGGAATGTGCTCTCCTTCCAGGGACCTGTGGCCTCCCCAGATCGGTCATCAGTAGTGCGAGCACCTCAGGACGTGACAGAAGGCGCCGGGGCCGGTGTTGGAAAGGAAGATGGTGGGGTGATGCCCTTTGGTGAGCAGCCAGCCCCTTCCCCACCCTCCCTGCTGCTCCTGGGCAGGGCCAGGGATCAGCCTCCCGCATCATCTGCTTGCTCAGTGCAAGACCTGGTGCCAGGACTAGAGGTGACCAGTTGTGTCCCGTCCATGGCGCTCACGGTCAGCAGGGCCCAGCCTGGAGGCGCTGCAGGAGGCAGGTGCTCCTGAAGGGTGAGGCGGGTGATGGTGTGCTGAGCCACTTGCCAGCTCAGCAGATGCCCGCGGGTGACCTCCAGGAGGCGGGGCATTGCCACTGCGTTGTGTGGGTGCAGGTTCTGAGGCACAGCAGGGTGAGGATGAGCCAGGAGGAGCAGGTGGGGACCTGGCCGGGTAGGCCCCAGAGCACCTGCCCCGGGGCCTGGCACCCCAACACTGCGGGCGGGGCTCCTGCAGCACAGTCAGGGCGGCCTGGGGCTGGCTGTGGGCCAGGGGCCGGGCGGGCACGGTGGGGCCAGTGCTGGGAGGGCAGAGGCCTCTGGGCAGTAAGGGCTCACTGGCTCACGGCCAGAGACAGCCACGGCTGCTGGTGTCCTGGGCCCGCAGAGTGGATGGGAGACCTGTTGGCCTGCGAAGTGGGCACCATGGGCACAGCCTCCTGTCTGGGTGTCACGTCTCCCCTCTGTCCATCATCCAGCCACCCACCCACCGTGTCTCCCCGGCTGTCCATCTGCCGTTCCTCTCGGGGTCTGCATCCTCACCCACCCGCCCGCTTCCCCTGCGCCTTGCCCGGTGTGTAGCGAGAATCGCCCACGCGCCAGGCTCTGCAGCACAGCCGCGGGCCCATGGCCCTGTCCCTGCCCCTGTCCCTGCCCCGTCCCCTGCCCCTGCCTGCTGCTGACCCGCACAGGGCCGAGCTGAACCTGACCCCGCGTTTCCTCTGCAGGAGCTGTGGGCCCTGAGCCGGAGGTGCCGGTGACGGGAGATGCCTGGGCCGCGTGGCCGCCCAAGCAGGAGCGCGACAGCCCCCCGCCTGCCGCCCCGGGCACCCTCGGGACCCCCTGCCCCGAGTGCGGTCAGACGCCCGCGCCCGCGCCACGGCCCCCGCGCGAGAAGCCGCACGCCTGCCCCGAGTGCGGCAAGGCCTTCCGGCGCAAGGAGCACCTGCGGCGCCACCGCGGCACGCACCCCGGGGCAGCGGGGCCAGCGCGGCGCCACCCGGCCACGCGCGAGAGGCCGCACGCCTGCTGCGACTGCGGCAAGGCCTTCTACTGGCGCGAGCACCTGGTGCGCCACCGCAAGACGCACTCGGGCGCGCGGCCCTTCGCCTGCAGGGAGTGTGGCAAAGGCTTTGGCCGCCGTGAGCACGTGCTGCGCCACCAGCGCATCCACGGCCGCGCCGCACGGGCGCAGGGCCCGGCGACCGAGGGCGGTGGCGCCTTCCCGCCCTGGCCGCTGGGGTAGCCGCGCCTGGCCCTGCCCCGTCCCCTACCCGGGGCCGCAAGCGGATGAAGGGCCAGGGGTCGGGTCTCAGCCCCAGGGGCGGGGCGGGGCAGGGACGGCCCATGCCGCTCGCGCCCAGGAATAAAGTTGCTGCCAGTGTGCCTGCGCGTCCGGCTCTCTCCTTGGGCCTACGGACCTGCCCGCCTGGCCCCGCAGCGGGCAGGCGTCCGGGCCACCGCTGTGGTGCCCAGCGTTCCCGTGCCCGTGGCTGCAGTAACAGTTTGCAAGGGCCCCGCCTCCCTCTCCGCCGTCAGCACTCGGTGGCCACTTCCCGAGGGGGGGCCTGGGGAGGACCGGGTCCTCGCGGGTGGGGCGGGGTGCTGGGCTCGGCCTGGACCCGGGTGGTCGCAGCCGTGGCGAGCGGCCCAGGGGCTCGGGGCCCGGCGGGAGGAGGGTCCGCAGGAGGGGTCCGCAGGAACACAGCATGGGAGCTCAGACTCGGAGTGCAGGGCCAGACGCTCCCAGGCGTCTCGCAGCAGGGCAGTGAGTGCCGGGCCGCCTGGGTCAAGGCTGGGCCCCGCGGTGCGGCCCTCCTCCCAGAGGCTTCCCCGCAAGCTCTCGCCTCGAGCTCATGACAAGCCCAGGCTGGCCTCGAACTCGAGGCGATCCTCCTGCCCTGGCCTCCAGTGCTGGCATCACAGGCGTGCGCCACCACACCCAGCCCTTTTCTGTTTTCTATTGAGACGGTCTCGGTGAGTCTCAGTTGCCCATGCTGGGCTTGAACCTGGCGTGATCCTCCTGCCTCAGCCTCCCGAGCCCTGGGGCGCCCTGCGGAGGATTCAGGTGTGGCGTGACAGCCCCGCCGTGCACTGGGGACCGTGCTCACCACACAGGTCGGGGTTTCTAGGACCCAGGATCCCGAGTAGATCCAGGAAACTCGGAAGGCCGCTGGGTCACTGGCAGGCAGGTCCCGCTTCCGCCCCTTGTGGTGACCTTTGGCACAGCATGCCCGGGGCTGTGGGCTTGGAGACCTAGCCCGGGAGGGGCTGCTAGGGCTGCTACCAGAACTCAAAAGAGCGGGCCCAGCCGGGCGTGGTAGCACATGGCAGAAATCCCAGCTCTCCGGAAGGCTGAGGCAGGAGGATCCCAAGATGGAGCCCAGTCTGGGCAATTTAGTGACATAGTGAGATCCGTCTCAAAATAAAAAATAAAAAGGGCTGGGACAGCTCGGGGTGAGGCCCTCGGTTCAATCCCAGCACCACAACACTGTCTGAATACAAGAAAAGTGGGCGGGGGAGGGCAGCTCACCCCAGCGTCCTCGGGCCCCTAGAGGAGCCTCAGGACCCACAGCCAGCCAAGCCGCCGCAGGGAGCCAGGGCCCATGGGGGCGGCGGGTGGGGCCTCGCATCCCTGTCCATCCTCAGGAGGCAGACCCAGGGCTCAGCACAGGCCAGGGAGAGCACTGAGGGGGGCACCGGTGGGGACGGCAGGGCCCAGTCAGCTGAGCTGCGTGGGCTGTTGCTCCCTTCCCAGGCCCCTTCCTCCGAGGCTCCTGCCGGGAGCACAGGGCCTCAGGCCACCCTCATCCGGCCTCACTCGCTGCTGCACGCGGTGTGAGGGGAGCCTGGGCCAGTCCAGAAGGGTGACAGCAAGGTGGGGGCCCGTGGGGACAGTGTAGGGACAGGAGCCAGCCCCAAGCCACAGGCGGGGGCGAGGCAGAGAGGAGGTGGGTGGGGGACCTCGGGGCGCCTAGGGCACCCCAGGAGCGGGCGACCCAGGAACAGGGCGGGGGCTGCTGTCGCCTGCTCCTGCCTTCCGTGTTACCTGCTTTGGGGCCACGCGGACCCCGCCGTGCTTGGAGGCCAGGTGCCAGGTGCCAGGTGGCAGGGCCGGGTGCAGGCCCAGGGCACGCCCACACGGAGTCGGGGGACAGGCAGTGGAGGGGACACGGCTGAGCTGGCATTGCCGCCCGGGGCTCTCTCTGGCCCTGTCCTCAGCACCTTGCCTCGGGCCCTGCTCGGTTCTGCCCACAGCGCGTGAAGGACGTGTGTCCGGCTGAAGGCTGAGGCGGGAGGCCTGCTCGGCCCTGAATTCCCCACGCCCACCTTCTCCCCCTCAGAGACTGAAGTGGTTTTCAGGGTCCGCAGGGACCTGCGAGCACAGCTTTCCCATGCAGTGCTGTTCGGTACCTCCAGGTCGTCCTGCACCTGAGCCTTCCCCACGAAGATTGCCACGCAGCACGGACACCTGCCGAGGGCTGCGCCTTCCCCGCCCCAGAGGATGGTGGCCAAGCCGGGGACTGTGGCGCACCTGGGAGCAGGAAGGCCTGGCGTGTGGCACAGGTGTGGCTGTGACAGTGACAGTGGCAATGGGAGGGTTTCGGGAGGCTTGGGCTCGGGGGTGACAGGAGGGCTCCGGCCCGCTCTGTCCTCACTGTGTGTGTTTGTGGGAACGCCACACTGCGCACCGAGATGCACAGTTGTGACTGGAAAGGAATTCTCCAGACTTGGCCTCATGCCTCAGGGGGACAGAATGGCCCAGGCTTCGAGATTCTCAGGTCTAGTGGCCAAGTAGAGGTGGATGGGACATCATCGAGGTAGTGGGGTCCCTGGGGGAGACAGAGGCCAGGGCTGCGGGACAGAGGCTCACTGTGCTGTGATCTTCGGCTCGGGCTGCGTCCTGGGGATGCGTTGGCTCACTTTGGTGGGCTCCTCGATGTGCAGCGGTGTCGGGCACAGGTGAACGAGGTGGAGATCAGGCCTGGGAGCCACAATCCGCCCCTGCACTTCACCTGCAGCTCCGAGCCCCTCCCTCTGTCCCCTGAACTGCAGATCCCAGCACCCTCTCTGCCCCCAGCTGCACTGTACTACTGTGCAGCCGCTTCCTTCCCAGCCTCTGCTCTCCTCTCCCCAGTATCCTGCTGCAGTCGCCCTGCACATCCGGCTTCCAAATCCACAGATCGACCAGCTGAAGACAGAGCTCTGCAGGGGCCGAGCCCTGGGTCTGTGCCGAGTGAGGCCCGCACTCCTCCTTGGCACTGTTTCCAACAGCAGTGTGGCAGCTGCTGACACAGCCCCCTGTGGCCTTGGGTGTGCTGGGTCCTTTGGAGGCGATGTACAGGGCCCTGGTCTTGGGCAGCTCAACGTGGTACTGAAATATGTTTCTAACTGAAGCTCCCTCAAAACTTAAAAGTAAACCCCTTGGACATGTGTGGTTTGGGTTTCTGTGACGCATTCAAGCAAAAGGCAAGACTGTGAGCCCAACGAGCGAGGCGTGGCCAGTGCCCTGGGTGTCAGGGTGGAGGGGCCAGCGCTGCGCCGGAAGCCCGGCGTCGCCTCCGCCTGAGATACAGTCTGTCCCCCCCCCTCCCCGAGAGGGCCCCCCCCTCAGCCCAGGCGGCCCCACCTCTGGCCCAGCTGCTCCCATTGCCATCTCGCTGCCCCCGGTGGAGCCTCTGGCATCTGTCTGCCCACAGGATGACACTGCCACCTGCTGCCCCACACTGCCCTAGGGAAAGATAGCAAATCCTCGGCTTGACTCTGAGCTACAGGGCCTCAGCCCTGTCCTGGACGTGTGGGAGAGCAGGCTGAGCTCGTGGGGTTGGCTGTCATCTTGAGTCATTTTGGCAGAGTCCGCATGCTTTTATTTGGGCCTGGGCCCACAAAGCGCATGGCTGTGTTTGGACTGAGCTCTGCGTGGGTGAGCCCACAACAGCCATGGCCAGCGTGACCCTTGGGGGACCAGGCCGCTGGCCCTGCCCCACCCTCGATGCCTTGTACCCAGGGTTCACACCACCTTGGGTGCGTGATGGCATGCCACAGGCCGGAGCGCTGGGAATGCCTCGCTGTTTTTAAGCTGTACTGAGGCCTAATTGATGTGCAGAAAGTCTTTGTATGTTGAGCATACACCTGAGCAGGTGGGCACGGGCACTCACCTCGATGCACACATCACGCAGCCAGGGCCAACACCCTCAGCACCTCAGAGACTTCCCTGTGGTCACTTCCATGCTGGACTTCTGCTTTTGTTTTTGGTAAGAACCCTTGCCTTCGGATCCGTCCTCTCAATATTGCTGTATGGTTGAGATATATAGTGAATGCTTAAATTTCAAAGAAGTATTGCAATAAAAGACACATCTCCATGAATCCCCTTCAAAATCCTCCCCTCACTCTGAACACCCTTGTCCCATTGTTCTTGCTGCTTTCAGGAGCAGCTCTGGAGTCCTCTTTCCTGAGTGTCTGTAATAAATTCTTAACTATTAAACGTCCCTGTAGTTCATCTCTCCTCACCCCTTTCTATTCTGAGACAGGGTCTTGCTTAGTCACTAAGTTGCTCAGGTGGGGCTGGGGCTAGTGATCCTCCTGCCTCAGCCTCCCCGAATGCTAGGATTAGCCCAGGGAGGCTGGGATGCACTCTCTGCTGCTGCTGGAGGCCCAGTCCTGCTCCTGTGAACAGAGCGAGTCCAGTGAGCGCACAATCCGCCTCATCCCACAGGCCAGCTGGGCGGCAGCATCCAAGCTCCCCAGACCACACAGCCCTCAGCGCGTGAGGCGGAGCAGGAGGGGACAGCGGAGGCACCGCTGGGGCTCCCCGCATGGCCTGGGGTCTGAGATCGGTGGGCTGCTGGGGAGGCCGGGTCAGCTGACCTGGGGTGAGCGGCCTGGGGCAGGGAGGCTGGTGGCATCTGGGACCCCCAGCTATGGCCGGAAGTGGGCGAGAGAGGAGCTGGTGAGGACCCAGGGGTGGGAGGGTCTTTGATTCTGCAAGCCCGACCCACACCTCAGAGGGCTCAGGAGTCCTCCACGGCAACAGTGACCGTGGCTTGTATACGATGATCGTCTCTGGTTGGCAGCTCTAGGTGGCTCCGGGCAGGGACTGCCACCTGTCACCACAGCAACTCAGCAGGACTGGAGGCTCGCGACCTTCACCCCCACCCACAGCCCCTGGAAGGAGGGGGTCGGGTTGGGGACCAAAGGCTGCTAAAGCTTCCAGAAAGGATGGGGTCAGATGGCTTCTGGTGGCTGGGGTTGGGGAGTCCTGGGAAGCCAGGCGTGCCCAGGCACCCCTCATCTCGCCCTGCACCTCATCCCCTCTGCCCTAACAGCCCTGGCAATGGAGGTGTCCCCGAGACCTGTCCGCAGCTGGAGTGAATGAGTCAGCCCAA